ATATGTTCTGACACTACTTTCAATTTTTAAATATTCAAAATATTTATGAATGTTAAAAAACAAACAGTTTGCTTCCTCAATTAACAAGGTAATTTCAAAGTGAAATCCATTGTACAAAAGCAGTTTGACACGTAATATATTATGGTTGAAGAGTTAGTTCAGTGTGTACCAGCTAAAAGATGAACTGCAGCAACTTTCTAACATTTCTTTGATAGCATCTTCCAAACCTGTGACTTATACTTCCTAGGAGATCAAGGGCTACAAACATATAGAATCAACATCACCTAAAAATTCCCCTGCAAGTCACACATAATCCTGACTCAGCACTTTTATCACCACTTCTTCATTATCACCAGATCATGATCCTGGAACTCTCAGTGTAAAAACATTAGAAGTGTGCGTATGTAACATGGACTGGAGCGGTTCACCAGCACCACCATCACCTCAAGGGCAGTAAATACTGGCCTTGACAGTGACATCCACAACCATGAACCAATAAGTTTCCTTTGTCTTTCATAGGCTTAACTTGGTGTCCCTCAAATGCATCAGTAATGTAAACAGTGAGATTTAAATATGCATGATTCTTAATGTTATTTGATGAGCGTTTAGGCTTCTCTGGTTTGAAAATTATTTTCCAATGGGTTTTGGGTGCTGCTAATGGACTTTTTTTTTGTTAGATTGCTTTGCAACCCAACATTGTAAATAATGGGGCCTCAAGGTTTGTTGGAATGTTCTGGAATTTGTTTTCTTTAAGTTTTAAGGAAAATGTCCATAGCGGAGAGAGAAAGACTTTGAAAGACCAGTGAGAATTGGTCATGTCTCTTGGAGGCTAGTTGGTATTTGTGTATCCTTATTGCCAGTTTGGTCTATGTAATGTTTCTCACAGTCCTAGCATGTTATTTTGTATATTATGTTGGTTTTATTGGTTGTGGGTATGGGAGCGTTTACGTTCATCAGTAGCTGTCGCAGGGCGGTTGTTGGTTTGTGGGCTATCCTGATACGTAGGGGTCCGAGTGGTCTTGTGGTCATCTCTGATATGTCCCTTACGTATGGTAGGGTGACTAGTGCGTCTGGCTGTGTTGTGTCTTGTTGTGGCCTGTCGCAGAGGTAACGGCAGATTGTGCTTTTTGGGTATCCATTGCCAATTCTCACTGGTCTCAATACACATGGACAAGGAGGACACAAATTCGACTTGGACAACACATCAATAATTGATCAAGCCAAACGGGTACATGCCAGGGAATTTCTGGAGGGTTGGCATTCCAACCGGAACTCCGCCAACAAACACATTGAACTGGACCTGATCTACAAACCACTGAAAAACAGAACTGGAAGTGATGCCAACCACCCCAGCAAACCAAGGAATATAAAAGTTACAAGCAGGACAGAGCACCAACGCCTCACCAGAGGCGCACTGATGTTGTTACCTTGCAGGGTGACGAAACATCTGCAATCAAACACACCCGCTCGGCAAGCAAGTCTGCAACCTCATCCATGACCCGAGCTACAAATCTTCTCAAAAACTTTAGAAAAAGGAGTGTTTTGGGATTAACAGGATTATACTCCTTTTATGTATTTAGAAATCTTTGAATTTGTATTATCAATAGATAGTTTGGATCATTCTATTTCATCTTCATTTATAGAACAAGCTTCCTTTTTACTAGAGTTATAGAAATGCATAGCACAGAAACAGACTCTTCAGTCCAACTCTTCAATGCTAACCAGATACCCTAAATTAATCTATTCCCATTTGCCAGCATTTGGCCCATATCCCTCTAAACCCTTCCTATTCATGTACCCATCCAGATGCCTTTTACATGTTGTAATTATACCAACCTCCCACCTCCTCTGGCAGCTCATTCCATTCATGCACCACCCTCCGTGAAAAAGTTTCCCCTTAGGTCCGTTTATATCTTTTCCCCCTCACCTTAAACCTATGCCCTTTTTGGACTCCCCTACCCTGGGAAAAAAAAAGACCTTGGCTATTCACCCTATCCACACACCTCTAAGGTCACCCCTTAGCCTCTGATGCTCCAAGTAATATAGCCCCAGCCTATTCAGCGTCTAGCTATAGCTCAACCTTGGCAACATCCTCGTAAATCTTTTCTGAACCCTGTCAAGTTTCACAACATCCTTCCTATAGCAGGGAGACCAGAATTGTACACAGTATTCCAAAAGTGGCCTAACCAATGTCCTGTAAAACTGCAACATGACCTCCCAACTCCAATACTCAATGCACTGATCAACAAAGGCAAGCGTACCAAACATTTTCATCATTACCGTGTCTACCTGCAACTCCATTTTCAAGGTAAAACAAAATCTGCTGTGTTGAATGCTGTTTCAGAGATAGCAGGAACTGCAGATGCTGGAGAATCTGAGATAACAAGGTGTAGAGCTGGATGAACACAGCAGGCCAAGCAGCATCAGAGGAGCAGGAAGGCTGACGTTTCGGACCTAGACCCTTCTTCAGAAATGGGGGAGGGGAAGGGGGTTCTGAAATAATAGGGAGAAAGGGGGAGGCAAATAGAAGATGGATAGAGGAGAAGATAGGTGGCGAGGAGACAGACAGGTCAAAGAGGCGGGGATGGAGCCAGTAGAGATGAGTGTAGGTGGGGAGGTAGGGAGGAGATAGGTCAGTCCAGGGAGGACGGACAGGTCAAGGGAGCAGGATGAGGTTAGTAGGTAGGAGATGGGGGTGCGGCTCGGGGTGGGAGGAAGGACAGGTTAGGGAAGCGGGGACAAGCTGGGCTGGTTTTGGGATGCGGTAGGGGGAGGGGAGATTTTGAAGCTTGTGAAGTCCACATTGATACCATTGGACTGCAGGGTTCCCAAGCGGAATATAAGTTGCTGTTCCTGCAACCTTCGGGTAGTATCGTTGTGGCACTGCAGGAGGCCCAGGATGGACATGTCGTCTAAGGAGTGGGAGGGGGAGTTGAAATGGTTCGCAACTGGGAGGTGCAGTTGTTTAGTGCGAACTGAGCGTAGGTGTTCTGCAAAGCGGTCCCCGAGCCTCCGCTTGGTTTCCCCGATGTAGAGGAGGCCACAACGGGAACAGCGGATGCAGTATACCACATTAGCAGATGTGCAGGTGAACATCTGCTTGATGTGGAAAGTCTTCTTGGGGCGTGGGATGGGGGTGAGGGAGGAGGTGCAGGGGCAGGTGTAGCACTTCCTGCGGTTGCAGGGAAAAGTGCCGGGTGTGGTGGGGCTGGAAGGGAGTGTGGAGCTGACAAGGGAGTCCCGGAGAGAGAGGTCCCTCTGGAAAGCAGATAAGGGTGGGGAGGGAAAAATGTCTTTGGCGGTGGGATCAGATTGCAGATGGCGGAAGTGTCAGAGGATAATGCGTTGGATCTGGAGGTTGGTGGGGTGGTACGTGAGGACGAGGGGGATTCTGTTTTGGTTGTTATTGCGGGGAGAGGGTGTGAGGGATCAGTTGCGGGAAATGCGGGAGACACTGTCGAGGGTGTTCTCAACCACTGAGGCGGGGGGATGTTGCGGTCCTTGAAAAATGAGGACATCTAAGATGTACGGGAGTGGAATGCCTCATCCTGGGAGCAGATGCGGCGGAGGCGAAGGAATTGGGAATAGGGGATGGCATTTTTGCAGGAAGATGGGTGGGAGGAGATGTATTCTAGGTAGCTGTGGGAGTCGGTGGGCTTGAAATGGATATCGGTTTCTGGGTGGTTGCCAGAGATGGAGACAGAGGTGTCCAGGAAGGAGAGAGAGGTATTGGGGAAGGTCCAGGTGAACTTAAGGTTGGGGTGGAAGGTGCTGAAGTGGATGAACTGTTCGAGCTCCTCGTGGGAGCACGAGGCAGCGCCGATACAGTCATCAATGTAATGGAGGAAGAGGTGGGGTTTAGGGCCAGTGTAGGTACAGAAGAGGGATTGTTCCATGTAACCTACGAAGAGGCAGGCATAGCTTGGGCCCATGCGGGTACCCATGGCCACCCCCTTTGTCTGCAGGAAGTGGGAGGAATTGAAAGAGAAGTAGTTGAGGGTGAGGACGAGTTCGACTAAGGGGATGAGGGTGTCAGTGGAGGGGGACTGGTCGGGCCTGCGGGACAGGAAGAAGCGGAGGGCCTTTAGGCCATCTGTATGGGGAATGCAGGTGTATAGGGAGTGGACGTCCATGGTAAAGATGAGATGTTGGGGACCGGGGAATTGGAAGTTCTGGAGGAGGTGGAGGGTGTGGGTGGTGTCATGGACGTAGGTAGGGAGTTCCTGGACCAAGGGGGAGAAAATGGAGTTGAGATAGGTGGAGGTAAGTTCGGTGGGGCAGGAGCAGGCGGAGACAATGGGTCGACCAGGGCAGTCAGGTTTGTGGATTTTGGGAAGGAGATAGAAGCGGATGGTGCGGGGTTGGGGAACCATGAGGTTGGAGGCTGTGGGTGGGAGGTCACCTGAGGTGATGAGGTTGTGGATGGTTTGGGAGATGATGTTTTGGTGGTCGGGGGTGGGGGTCATCATCAAGGGGGCGGTAGGTGGTGGTGTTGGAGAGCTAGCGCCTGGCCCCAGCGATGTAGAGGTCAGTTGTAGTATGGCGCACTGACCTATTTTTTCCTAAATTTCCTGACATCAACTATCTCCTCCAAGAAGCTAGGAAAATTCTGCCGCAAGTAGCTTGATTGTGATTCACATTCTAAATACTAACAAGAGTAGCGAATCCCAAACTTACTTCTCTCCTCACTAAAGTGGATAGAGAATCTTTCTACAGAAATAAATTTTGCTCAATGTCTTGCTCTCAACACTGGATTCTTGAAACTTTATTACATTTCTGTTTCCCATCACAGAAGAAATTTTGTAAGATCATTATTACAGCTTGCTGTGGAGTGAAATAATCACCAATAGATCATGATACCAGACAGAAAATCAAAAAACATAGGGGCTTCATTACAATATTAAAATAATTCGATAAAATTCTGGTGTAGTCATGAAATTTCCTGAGAACTTTCTTCTTTCTGAAATATTTATAGAATGCATTGCTTTCAAGCCACTTACCTCCCCTGAGTAACTGTATTTACCCTTCAATATCTGCCTATATAATCGAGTACGATTATCATCTTCAAAGGGCATAGTTCCACTTAACAAAATGTAGGACACAACACCCAATGCCCACATGTCAACAGAATTTGTGTAAGGCTTCCTCACAAGAATTTCTGGAGCAATATATTCTGGGGTGCCACAGGTGGTCTTCATAAGACAGTCATCACCTTTCTTTCGAGTGCTTGCTAATCCAAAGTCTGTGATCATAATTTTGGAATCAGCACCTGGGTGATAGTACAGCAAATTTTCTGGTTTCAGATCTCTATGTGTGATGCCTAAGATATGCAAATATTTAACTCCCTCAAGAACCATTTGAAGCACTCTAGTGGCATCTCTTTCAGTAAAGGAGCCTTTGGCTATGATCCTGTCAAAAAGTTCACCTCCAGTTGCTAATTCCATTACCATATAAACTCTCTCTTGCGTCTCAAATACTTCAATGAGCTGTATGACATTGGCATGCCTCACTCTCCTGAGGACGTTGAGTTCAGATTCACATACTTCTCTGCCTTCCTTGTACTTTGTCTCAATCAGTTTTATTGCGTAAGGTTGTTTAGTGCTCTTATGCTCCACTCTGACCACTCTACTAAAACTTCCACGACCAATCAGTGCCTTAATGTCATATTTTGCAGTCACTCTGGGGTCAAACTTTGCACGGTATTTGGCCACTTTATTCCTTCGAGGATCATTCTGCTGGTCCCAGTGTCCAGTTTGCTGGTACACATTAGTCTGATGAGGTGGTGGCTGGCCTGTCTTGCCTCCACTTTTGATGGCATCATATTTAATAAAGTGCTTGTACTTATCATGGTGTTGGCCAGTATACGGCTCCACAGTTTTAACTAAATCCAAATGAATGTTTTTAGGTGGCTCAGGCAGCACTTTGCTTGTCCCACAGCCCATCACTTTTTGTCATTAGTTAGCCAGGAAGGCATCTTCTCCATTCATCATTCGCTTTCTTTTCATCCACTTATACAGCTTCCTTTCCTCTACCAAAAGAGAAAAATAAACACAAATTTCAAACCACTTTTAATAATAGAGTTTTTACACAAAGACAGCATTCAACCCATTCTCACGACACTGGTAAAGAAACATCCATCTATGCTATTTCCATTTTTCTGCGCTTAGCCCATAGTCTTGCACACTAAGTAATTTGAAGTGTTCATCTAAACAGAGCTTGAACGTCTTGACAACTCTCTCCTCTACCACCTTTTTAGGCACTGAGTTCTGGTTACAGTCAACCCTCTGGATGATATTTTTTCTTCAAATTTCCTCTAACCTTCCTGCTCTTTTTCTTAAAACTATGCACCTGAGTTATTGACCCATCTAAAGGGAAAAGTTTCTCCCTATCTACCCTGTCTGTGCCCCTCAGAACTCTGCACACTTCGATCAGATCCACCCCATCCCCATCAACCTTCTCTGCTCTAAGGAAAGCAAAACCAGCCTACCTAATCTCTCTTCATAGACGAAATCACTTCAGCCTAGGCAACACCCTAGTGAATATCTTCTGCATCCTCTAGTGCAATCACATCTTCAAATAGAGTGACAACCAGAACTGCACACCAGCTCCAGTTGTAGCCTAACTAAGATCATATACAACTCCATCATGACTTTCATGCTCTTGTACTCAACATCTTGACTAATAAAGACAAATATCCCATGTAACTCTTGACCACATAATCCATCTGTCCTGTTGCCTTCAAAGATCTTCGAATATGCATACTAAGATACCTGATCAATCCTCTGTACTGCCTAGGGTCTTATCAACATACTTCCTTGCCAATATAATGCTTGGCAGGGCATTTGGCTCCTTTATTTCTTCTAGGAACATTCTGCTGGTCCCAGTCCCAATAAAGAATCCAATATTTGCTCCTGACAAGTCAGAAAGAACATCCTCTAATATGATCGATGACAAGAATCGGCTTTCATTTTATAAAGAGATTGACAATTAAGAAATGCGGTGCTTGAAAATTTAAAAGGTGAGTTCATTTCGATGTGCAATGAATAAAAGGGAGTGGTGGCGGGGGGGGTGGGGTTTAACAGACCTGCAAAACTGTTCAAACTGTCGGTCCCCAGCCACAGCTAACGCTTGGGGAGATGAATCCTGTGGCCCGAGCGGTCCGGTCCCGGCCCTCACCTGACTCAGCTCAGGAGTTCCTTTCCAAGCAGGCCCTGCTGCACTCCTGGTCCTGCTCATGCCAGCCTAACAGACCGGGCCGCAATGAAGCTGCTGCTGCCTCACGGTCCACACACTCCAAATCCCAACGCCCTCCTGAACTCTCCCCGACCTCACGCACCAGCCGGGGCGCGATGGCGTCACTTCCGCGCGGCGGCACGCCGGCGCTTCAGGGATTGTCATAGCAACGCCAACCATTTGGCCTGCCTCCTCTCAGGACGTTACCGTCACACATTTCGTTCATCGGAATGCGAGCAGCACGTACAAGGCCAGCCAGTATTTACTGCCTTTGAGAAGTTGAACTGCCGCAGCCTTTATGGTTGTACCCCCACAGCGCTGTTCGGGAGCGTGGTGTAAGATTTTGCCTCTGTGATACTGAAGGGACGGTGATGTTGATCAAAGTCAGGATGCTGTGTGCTTTGGAGGGAAATTTGTGTGTTGTTCCCAAATGTCTGTTTCCCTTGCTCTTACGGTTGGTACAGATCGAGGTTTGGAGAATGCCTGTGAAGGACCATGTTGATACAGTGCTTCCTGTGGATGCTACACACAGCAGCCACTGTGCGACTATGGTGGGCAACTAATAACATTGGCGAAGCAATTAAAATCCGAGATGCTCAAGGCATTGGAGGGGGAAAAAAGCTCACAGCAATACTTGGAAATGAATGTACTGGTCATATTGGAACACTGTTCTGAGGTTTACAAGACAAGTGGGACCAGTATGCATCTTTCACATGTTTTACTGCTTCTTTTTCCTCTTCTGAGGGAACAGATATTGCCAAGAGTTTTGGGTCGGAGGAGACTACAGACATTATCTATTGAGTCATTGCTTAATCATGAGACAATCTAAGTCAAGGAACACAAGATGACAGGTGAATGGAATTTAGTGCAAAACGTTAGGGCAGCATTTTTGGAAAACCAGCCAGGAAGTTGGTATTGGAACAGTTAAGTCCACACGTAACAAAAGCCTGATTGAAGGTTTCCTCAGCAGATGAGTTGAGGCAGGGCTAGCGTTGGGTAATGTTACATTAGTTGAAATAGATTGTTTTAGTTGTGCTGCAAATATGTGTGATTTGAAGCCTACCTTGGTCTCAAATGTGACACCAATGTTGTAAACAGTTTAATTCAAAATTTCCAGGGAGAGAAGTGCTATTGATAAACTAGGGATTGGAGTTTATGGTGATGATTTTGGTCCTCCCCATAATCAATTGGGAAACATTTCTGCTCATTCAGTGTTAAATGGTGGACAAGCAGTCTGAAAACTAAAAATAATGGATGGAGTGTGAGTGAACATTGTCAGATTTATGTATCATCAGTGCACATTCGGTAACAGATGCAGCATTTTCAGATTGTGTTACCGAGGAGTGGCATGCAGATGAGCCTGAGGAGAAGAACAAGGATAGATCTTTGGGGGAAACCAGAAAAACACATTTTGGAAGTGGAAGAAGAAGGAACAGGTGATTCTCTGGCAACGACTAGATAAATAAGAATGGAATCAGAAGGGACTCTTGTGGCATAGTGGTAATATCCCTACCTCTGAGCCAGGAGGCCTGTGTTCAAGTCCTGCTCCAGGAGTGTGTAATAACATCTCTACTACTGGTTAATTAGGAAAAAAAATTGAATCAGGTGATTACAGTTCCACGCAGCTGAATGAAATTTAGGAGCATTGGTAGAGAATTATGTAATCATTATGATAATGGTGTTATAATAGTAATATTACTAGACAGAGGTACAAATAATTGCTCTAGAAACATGAGTTCAAATCCCAGCATGGAAACTAGTTGAATTTAAATACAAATCATTAAATCTTGAATTAAAATCTCTGTAATCATGACTATGAAATTACTGGGCTTTCATAAAAGTCTACCTGGTTAACAAATGCCTTTTCGGTACAGAAATCTGTCGTCATTACCTGGTCTGACCCATGTGGGACTCCAGGTACACAGTGACATGGATGGCTCTTAAATTCACTCTGCAGGCACTTTGTTGTACAAAACTGCTGCAGGAAAGTAAAACATTAGTAAACCAGGGCAGTACACCTGGCATTGACCTAGGCAGCAGAAATGACAATGTGACATGTGTAGATATTGGAGACGTTGGTCAAAATATTCCAGAACACTGGATTCTGGGAAGGCTGCAGCCATTTGGCAAAGCGCTAATGGAATACTCCTTTTCAAGAAGGGACGGACCCCACAGAAAGCAGGAAACTATAGGTCAGTTAGGTTAATATTTGTCATTGTGAAAATGTTGGTGTCCTTTATTAAGGAAGAAATAGCGGGACATTTAGAAAAACATAACGCAATTAAACAGAGTCAACATGGTTTTGTGAAACAAGATGAGCTTGGATAGGATACAAAGACAGAATTGAACAGAAACATGAGAAATGTAAGAGTTCAGGGCTAGACTAGGAGAATCTCAGAGGAAATTTGACCTGATGAGGTAGTGGGAGGCAGCAAAGCTACAGAGGCAGCTAAGTGGCAGTCTGAATCTTAGCAATAAAGTTGTCCATGAGTTTCTTGCATTGTTGAAATGAGAGTCACCAAAGTTGTTGAGAAAATAAAATGCTGCAGATGTTGAATATCTGAAACATAAAATGAGTGACATTTAGCAGGGTAGGCAGCAATGTCCCCCAAAAGCAAAACTATTAAGGTTTCAATGTATAAAATGTAAGAACTGAAGCAGATGACCAACATTTTAAAAAGGAATTGAACAAGGAAAAGGAAAAGGGAACGTAAGAACAGGAGTACACCATTAAGCCCCTTGAGCCTGTTCTGCTATTCGGTGACATCATAGCTGATCTCTAGCCTAACTCCATATACCTGCCATTGGCCCATATCCCTTAATATATTTGCTTAGCAAAACTTAATCTATCTCAGATTAAAATTAACAGCTGATCAAGCATCAACTGCTGCTTGTGAATAGAGCTCCAACCCTCTACCACCCTTTGCATGTAGAAGTGCCTTCTAACATCTCTCCTGCACAGTCTGGCCCTAATTTTTGCACTATGCACCTTAGTTCCAGGATCTCCAACTTGCAGAAGTAGTTTATCTTTATCTACCCTGTCTATTTCTGTTAATATCTTGAAGGAGGGAAACGCACAATAGCTACAAACAGAAGGATAGTCATAGTACAATCTCTGTAATATGTTGGAGGGAACTGTATCCTTCTATTTGTGGCATATTTCTTAATCTACTTACCTATCTCCTTCAATTCTTCCCATATTACCAGTCGCATACACATCTTTTATTCCTTTTATTATGTATATGTTTTGTTTTCTCCCACAAGTATCACTTCTGCTGGTTATTCATCTTCTGCTTACCACTTTAGCACTCTAAGATCATTTTATATCTTTTCTTGTGTATATCATCATTGCATGTCTTCCTTTTCTCTTGATTGTTCCTTTGTAAATACGTGATATGGAGGTGCCCGTGTTGGACTGGAGTGGACAAAGTCTGAAGTCACAAAATACCAGGTTATAGTCCATCAGGTTTATTTGAAATCACAAGCTTTCGGAGTGCAGCCCCTTCATTAGGTGCAGTGAGAGAGAAGAGCACGCAGACACAGAATTTATAAGCAGAGAAATCAAGGGCAGAGAGATCAAAAGATCATACAACTGGTGTGAGTTGTGTGGCGAATAATAAGTGTCTGCAGGTTACCAAGAATGTTAGACGTTTTGAGTAAAATGTCAACAGCTGAATAACAAGCAAAGGGATGACCTATAATCCAATTAAATGAGGCAAAGAGATAATTATCAAAAAATAAAAATAAGATGGTGTTGGAGACAAACTAAATGACTGGAATAACATGATAGGTATAACAGTCGCATGCTGAGGGGCTAACCAAAGTAATAAGTAATCCAAAACTGTACACATTAATTAAGGTAGAGAGACCATAACAATTTATCAAGGTCATGGTGTCAAAACAGGACAATAAGGAAGGTTTTACAGATACAGAGCAGTATGTTGGGGTCACATGTAGTGAGACATGAACCCAAGATTACGGTTGATCTTTTCCCTGTTTATTTTCCTTGATGGCTTTGGTTTTTATTTAACTGAACTATTTTCAGTCTAGCTGTGCCTGACTGAAATCTGTACCACAGTTCACCATATTGTAAAGTTGTATCCCATTGCTGTTACTATATTATAAATGTTTGATTTCTGCTGGAACTATCCCTTGTCTTGGCTAGATTCATAACCACCAATCCTTTTTGTTGGATATTAATCTAGGCTACCTCAAGATAGTCTGGTTTTCAGCCAATCTGGCCAACTGTTCAGCATGGGAAGTCATCACATCTGGTATTTTGATCTTAATCTGCTTAGATTAGTAAATTATAGCTAGCCTGTGTCTGTTCCTTTCCATGTTTCGACCCGACAGGGATGAAGGTAGTTTCATGAAAGTAGTCCAAGTACTGGGGAAACTGTTCTGACATTGGATTATTTGACAAAACTGTAACTGTTTTTCTCTCCACTGATGCTGCCCGACCTGCTAAGTTTGTCCAGCAATTTCTGTTTTTGTTAGAACTCCAGCATCCACAGTTCTTTGCTTTAAGTTTTTTTTAACACTGTTTTCCCAATGAGAGCATCTGCTGACACCAGTTATCTGATGATAAATTCTGACTGCATATCCTCACCACTGAATTTTTTAAAACGTGCACACGCGAGTGCAATATATAGCTGATACTTGAAAATTAAAAATAATTTACTTTATATAAGTTTCTTTTCTTTCACCTATTTCTTTTGTTCATTTTTAAGCGTTTGCTAGATTTTTATTATTTTTTATTTCAATTTATTTCAGAGATGTCATTGCCACTATGCATGCATCTAGCTATCAGCAAACCTGGCCTTTTCCAACATCTTTCTCCTTGTCTCTCTTTTGGCGTGCAATCTCTGGACATGATGAAGTTACTTTATATATGATGGCGGCACAGTATATGAAATTGTCACCCAATGTACATCTTGAAGGTATTTTGTTGGCCTCTGATGCTAGCCACCCTGATTGTCATAACCCAAATATAGCGGCAACAGATTGGTACTTAATGGCCACCATTTTTGAGGCACTATTGTCCCAATTCAGCTTGATGGGAAGTTTGAAAATTTATCTCCCGAAACGTTGACTTCCC